AATAGATAACTTTTTCCGTGTTTACATAGCAAATACTAAAAAACATCTATAAAAGAAGAGAAAACCTCTGGAACCAGGGTATGGCGAATTTTACCATAACTTGTAGAATTCTCGCGCGCTGATTGGTCGAGAGCCGTTGTCGATCGTAGGACAGATCGCTCGCGCACAGACCAGCGCCAGAAACGATTTTGTTTTGAAAGTTTTACTTTGTTTTCGGCTTTGTTATGGTAAAAAACAAATCGAAATCGCTTTTCTATGGTCTGTACGCTTATCGACAATGAAAATGACGTCAGAAAATGATCAAAACTCAAGTGGAACCACGAGCGTAGCGATTTAGATTTGTTAAGTATAAACTTTTAAAAACCGATACTTCAGGATACTTCGTAGCTGAGTGAAGTCCCAAGCTTTCTCATTCTGAGTTGCATAGCCCCGGGCATAGCCTAAATCCTTCAATTTGATAAGGGATTCTGTCTCTTCTGGATAATAAAAGAATAAAATGCTATTCACGCAAGAGTATTCCTAGATGAAGATTGAAGCGGTTCTTGTTGACATCGCTGCTTGACGGCACCAAGTATCACCGACACTTTGCAAACTGTCTGATATTTGATACTGTGGTACGCTTGACCTTTAAATTACTACAATTAGACTTACTCTACCCRTATTTTTCCTTTTTCTCACAGTGGAAGTACAAACAACAAAAGCTATCGCGGGGAGCAAGGATGGCCGAGCGGTTAAAACGCCGGTGTGGTCCTGGTTCGATTCCTGGTCCGGGACTATTTGTGATTTGAGTTTGCAGGCTGGTTCTCTCAAATTTATTAGCTTCTAGCCCTAGTTGAGGTAGGGACACCGCAATAGCTCGCGGAGCCAATACCTGCGGACCCTATACTCTCACACTCACTACCTCTACACAGCACTCCTCAGAAACTCAAACTCACATAAGGTCTGTGTACTTACACGAGTAAAGATATAGAAATACAATAGTGACATATTGACAAAAATACAATACCATGTGTTACTGTGGATATTCAATTCTATTTGGCTTTCCGTGCAAAGACATTTGCATCGCTACGGTCAACGAACGTATGTCATTTATCTACCTTCATGAATTGAAGTGAATATGAATTTGTCTTCAAAAATAATAGGCGTTGATGACGTATCCCCATCCAAAGCCGGGCATTCAACAGCAACAGCAGGGATTGTTTGGTAGTATCTGGAATTTTTAATGCCTTGTCCCAAACTTTGGTGGATCTGATAACTAATAAATAGTTTATACATTATGATATTGGCATTCATAAGTTGGACGTCCAATTAGCATTTTCTATTTGKTCACATGTCTACGTTCATATTGCTTGTCACAAACAAAAAGCGTGGCGAGGACTTTTAAGAAAAAGAACAGGAAAAGGGCGGAGTGAATTAATAATAGCATTATTCATAATAATACCCAGATCACCTCGGTATCCATTGTCTTTTGAGGGACGTTTACATCCTAACATCCCTCCCTCACGAATAATAAGATGTCAGTTTAGTTTGTAAATTGCCCTCATAAATTATTGATGAGGGCAATTTAGAAACTAAATTTGCCCTCATATTATTCATGAGCTTGGCCCACGTATCTCAGTCATTGAGACTCGGGTTCAGTTAAGTAAATCCTTTAATGAACTTGTACCTGGATCTTCTCTGGTCGCTCTCAAATGTGGGACACCATCAGAGCGTACAGATAGTCATACTCAAAAATAATAAATAATTTGCTTTACAACTGACTAATTTATTTTAACTAATCATATTTATATTATTTTTAAAACTAAAGTTCATTTTTTCAAAGTGTATGTCAAACTTTACGCATGCGCATTTGTAAAGGTATATTTTATCCCTGAAATCGTTTATTCATTCACTATTTTATATTCACTTTGTAATGGTATATATTTAAGATTCGTTCAATTACAAATATTACTTGTTAAAGGTAATGTTATTACTATTTCCCTGCATGTTGATACAAAAGGAATCCCTGCCGCTCCACTCTCTGATATTCTCGACTTCAGTGTCTTTAACGAAACTAAAACTTTCTGCCATTTCTAATCAACCTGGCCTATTGCAAGAAGTCATTCGTGAATTTATATGTTTTATGTGTTAACAGGAATGTATTCCTATGAGAGATTGAATTGCCAAATTAGTCCAGTCAAAATACAACTCAGAAAAGCATCTAAAACAACATAATAAAAGTCTAATTAAATTGAGGCATGGGAACGTTCTTAAAATTGGACTCATTTATATGTATAAGATGAAAGCGAGGCTGAGAATCGGAAGTGACTGTTTTTGATCGTTTATATTGCATTTGTTTTTAGTTCAACTTTTATACAACCTAGGTTTATTTCAACAGCGCATTCAAGAGTGATAGGCTACCTACTAAATAGCTCAGGGACGGATCCAGGGGTGGTGATTAGGGTCACAAGTCACCCCCGTTGCTCTTCGAAAAAAAACCCACAATAATATACTAGTAATAATAGAAACTTAGACTAAAACGATACAAAATTTTATTTCATAGTTTTTTATTCAAAAACAATAGAATCGAAATGCATATTTTGGTTTTCAAAAAGATAAATTTAACACCGTAAAAAAAGGATGTGAAATAACTTACTGACGTTTCGGACGTTAATCCTTATTTCACCTTTTTTACGGTGTTAAATTTATCTTTTTAYACAACTGTTTCTTTAGAAACACCGACCCAGCTCACACTAGTTTACCGCTAGTTCCCACTATTTTGGTTTTCGAAGAGTGGATGAGGTCATTCCATCATACAATGACTTTCGATTTGACATCGATATGTGGTTTCAACGTATATACGCTAACGTCTTGCGACTTTCAAAGTTAGTGGGATCTTTTGAGGAATGTCCACGTGTTTGTCAAACACAKATATAGACACACAGAGACAACGTTCAAGCAAATACAGTTGAMGATTATTGGAAATRTACAGTTGCAATACCATTTTTGAACATTTTTAGRAATGTAATCGAAGAGTTAAAGTCAAGATTTAGCAATGACAAGATGAATTTATTAGTCTTGTGCCCGAGCTGATCAGAGAGAAAAAAGCCAAAACGAAGTGGAAGAACTTTCACAGATTCTAAAAGAAAAATGAAACTGATATTCTACCAATTGCGACAGCATTTGACAGTACGTTTTTCAGATGATGCAATTACTGGAAAAGACGAGAGAAGAAAGAAGATCAACCAATAACAATAGCGTTAGCGCAACATGCCGACCAGATCTTTTGCCCAATGTACGCGAGCTATTGAAGATGTCCTTCCCATCGGAAGTGTCGAGGCTGAAAGATCGTTCTTGCCTTAGACGAATCTATACTTGGCTGAGGACAACGATGACCACAGAGACGCTKTCAGATTTAGCGTTTATTGCCATACATGGCAATGCTATTCCCCTAACCACACAAGAAATATGCCGGGCATTTATGCAGATCCATCCTAGGAGAATGTAGGAGCCTTATCTGGATACATATTTYATACATATCTTATGTAGCTGCTAGTGTATGCTGCATTGATTAATAGATAGAAAAATTGAATATTAAATAACGTAACTTTTTCAAATGAAATACTTGTCATAAAATAGTCACCCTCCTTCCAAAAATCCTGGATCCGCCACTGTAGCTAAGCGTATTACAGTGATAAATGTCCAATGAAGTAAACAACCAGTACTTGAACAAACATATCAGTTTTTGACATGGATTTCAAGGCCTACAACTCATTGCATATGATAATGSCACTGCCCTTCTCATGGATCTTAACGGTATTTTTTGGTGTGTTCTCAACGTCCTTTTAGCAAATCTCACACTTCCCATTATGATTGCGATTCTCTGGAAAATGAAACAATTGTCTGATTTTTAAAATACGCATATGTGATTTACATGCAGTAACAAATTCATTTAAATTCACATTATTTCAGATGCTTTTATATTTCATCGAATGTCAATAATAATAATTTAACAAAAAGAAAATAAAAAAGTCCTACCTTGAAACTTTAACAAAACGATTCATAGAGATTCCAGGCTATTCTCAGAGCTAGCTAACTAGTGATCACAAGTTTTCTCATGTGGCTCATGTGTAAAAATAGTCGTCCACTTGGTGTAAAAATAGTCGTCCACTTGGTGTAATTGACAACCTGTCATGTCTAGTTTAGTCACAGGTAACCCAGGCTCAATAACTTAGTATAAAATATGTCGTTCGCACAATTTTTTTTTTTTTGCCTAAATAATATTATTCTAACATAAATAAAACGTCTCTTACCTTCCTGGTTGAAAATCTTTCGTTTTTAAGAGGTTTTACGCCATTTTTGATCTGCCATTGTTTAACCTACTTATATTAATACAAGGTCGGAAACTGCACGCAAAGATTTCCAACAGTAACTCTACTTGCACTCGATTTTTTTGTCAAAATCCATACATTTCGATACGTCAAATAAGTAAGGCGTTCAACAATATCCTCGTTGTTCCACGTGTAAAATCGTGTAATGTGTATTAGCATAAATTGATCCTCATTAGCATTTCCTATCCGGTTATGTGAAATCGTTCTAATATAATTGATGTTATGAATATATAATACCAAAATGTTTTTTGTTTCTTTTCATTTGATTTCCCAAGAGTAATTATTAGTCAAGTTCAGGTAATTGTTAAAAAAACGTAATATATTCCGGTTTAGGATCAAATTGTCAATATGCTTTTGGTTTATTTCCTCGGAAATCATAGTATTACAAAGTAACACCATAGCATATAATATTTTTTATATTAGTATATTTAAACAATTAGACCCGAAGCCCGAATGGGCTACGGTTCAATTGAGTCCACGAGATCGGGCTATTAAACGTAGCCCATGAGGGCAAGAGGTCTAATTGTTTTAGTATCCAACAACTTTTTCATTTTATCCACGTTTCTAGATTTTGGAAAACAAAATATTTTCATTTTTTGGGAATTCAGTAGAAAGAAAACAAAGTTACAAAGCACTTGTGACTCGATAAAATCACATCAAATGGAAAAATCCCCGGGAAAAATCATACAAAAATCTCATAAGTAGAACGTCAACAATTTACAAAGTACTATTTATTAAATACCTGGTAGGCATAGTTGTATAATACATTTAAAAGCTTGTCAAGTTTTCGTCTTCGTTTGTAAACAAGATTGGATGATATACCATGTTGTTGGATACTAAAGTATAATAGTATTTTACATTTTTTCCACTAGGTAAACCTACTTATCTAT